TTGTCGGCAGATCGGGGCAGTCTGGACGCGACGCGCCGACAAAGAAGCCTTTCTTCATCGGCACAGGTAAGCCTCGTGAAACCAGGTTTACCTGTGCCGATGAAGAAAGGCTTCTTTGTCGGCGCATCGCGTCCAGACTGCCCCGATCTGCTGACAAACAGCTGATCGGCAGATCGGGGCAGCCATTTAAATTTAAATGAAGCCGCGATTATTTTAATCGCGGCTTCATTTCCCTCTGCCGATCTGGCTAATCTACATGCCTCTGTCGAAGGAGGCATGTAGTCTAGACACACCCTCTGTGGTGTGCCTGTGTGCACAAACATACCCTTCCCCTGAACTGAGAGATGGACCACATGGTCTATCTCCCCTCTTTCACAGTTGGGGGATGGGCATATCTTTTCCCATTTACAATTGTATAATATCTCCATGGCAACTAAAGCAACTGTTTCCATGGAACAACTTATGAATTTTAGCTTGGTGGATGGTTTCCTTTTTTTAGAATGTTAATTGCAGTGTCTAATGTTACTTTTCTCATGTCCTTTTCCAGCCCCTTCTGTTCCATTTCTATCTTCTCCTGTTTCCCTTCATACATTTCTCCACCACTTTGTCCCCTTTCCTTCCTATTCCTTTGCCAATGCTTCCCTGTCGCCTGATCATCCTCTACTCTTGAACGTACTTTCTGTGTTCTTGGAAGGCAGTTCCTATTTCTTCTCCTCTTCTTATTCAAAAATGGACCCCAGAAGACACAGCTAGCTAGGTTGGCTCCTCCTGGTTTCCAGGTATATAGTTTTCTACAGTGAAGAACCAGGATGTTTGGAGGAGCAACCAGCTCCATGTGGCCAGTTCTCCACAGCCCATTGTTTGAGAACCACTGAATTAATGTATTCACTGTTCTACCTGTAGTGTTAAAAAAGTACATAACGGTAAACCAGATTTTCAAAGTCTTTCACTTTTCATCACCTTCACAGTAATGATAAAATAGATAAGATATTAGCTTTGATACAGGATCTTTTTGTTTTCCAGAAAAATATTCAGCATTGAAGTTATATGAAAAAAGCTATTGAAGTCATTTGTTGCAGAGTGGTTAGTTAGTTGGTTTATTTTACCATTTTACTTGTAGACATATATTATAAATTCCAGCAGCCATCTCCATTTTAAAAATAGGAAAAATACCCGCTCACACCAATTATAGCTTCTCTATGACTAATTATTTGAATTACAGTGGCACTTTTAGAGCCTTTCTGCTTGTAACAATATAAACACATAATAAGAACAAGAGACCAAAGTGCTTACAATCCAAGTTTTTTATTCAGGGAAGCATGTGAAGACATGTTCAAAATTAAACATGATTAAATCACATTGAAATCAACAGGACTTAAGCACATGATTGAGGCTAAACATGGGACTTGAGCATGTCAAGCACATACTTCTGTTTTGTCCTATTCCCTCTCCCCTCACTCCCATCTTGGTGTATGTTCCAGAGATTCAGGTGTGAAGACTGCCGTCTTCCAACTTCCTTGCTGGAATTCAAAGACAATGTTCTAGAGATGCTCAACCCCCCCTAGAAAATCCACAATCACTACCAGAGAGCAAAAGTAGGCTGACATGGATATAGACACTCTCTCTCAGACCAAACGAGGAGATACATCTTCTCTCTGTAAAATACAGGACAGCATGTGGCATGGAAAAAGCCAACAAGAATGCCATGAACATAGGGAGTGTTTAGCAGTCAGAAACTTACTAGCATTCAAGGCTGGATCTGTTGCAGCATCAGAATGTAACATATCTGTACAATATCTACCACAGGTAGCTTTGCTGTCATCATTGGCATATAAGTCTGTCACATTTCTCGCCTCCTATTGGATGGGTATTGAAAAGTTCTTAGGGCACTCTGTCTGCCTAAGGAGTCCCTATGACACAAATTGTGTTAGAAATCTTTCTATGTTGATGGGGTTTTTGGCTTACTCTCCACTAGTCTTTTGTTTATTCTTCAATATTCTAATGCAGAAAGAAGTAGAAGGGAGCAGCACCAGCCACCTAATCAACGTGTGTCAGAGCTTCCCACAGCTGTCTTATCTGGCTAGTACACTAGAGTCACTGTCTCTGTCAACACAGTGAGCTGAAGTTATGAAAGCAAAATACACAGTGTATCTCCACCATCAAAGAAGCGCTAAACTCAGAGTGGCCAACAGCACATTGCAACAAAGAGCAAGGCAGATTAGTTCACTCAGACTAGCTACATCTGGCTGAATAGATGCAAAGGTCCTTTAATGGACATCTAAGAGGTATGTATGATGGAATCAAAAGCACAACAGTCTTTCAGCCAAGATGACCGCCTCACTCAAATGTCTCAATGGAGATATCAGTACAGACAGGAGCAAACAGATGCAATATTATCACAAACAGTCACATGAAACCACTTTTTCTGAAAAAGTACCCCAGCCTCCAGACTATCAAAGAACTCAATATAGAACCATCTATAAATGAGTCTGAAAATTTCCCTATCACCAAGAAAGACTATAGGAAAAGAGGAACTCAGCTAACCACTAAAACAAATAGGACAGACTATCTTAAACATATGGATGATATCTTGTTTCCTGCCCAAGGGATGAAGAGTACCACAAGCCATGAAGAATGCAAGCACCACAACACTGTATATAAACAAAGAAAATAAGAGTGAGTGTGGCATCTACAGAGGAAGTCCTTGTTGCTGTTGGAAAGGCATTCACACAGGTCATTCTAACAAGACTGAAAGCTCTTGCTGAATGTGTATTTACAAAGCGTCAGTGTGATTTCTGTCCTAGTAGGTATATCAACTATTGAAATGGTCTTCATGCACAGACCTTTGCAAGAAAAGCCTCAAGAACTAGAAAAACTTGGTCTGGCCTTAGTAGTTCTTACAAAGACTTTTCAGCTAGCCAGCAGAAAGGATCTTTTCCAGCTGAAGTCCCTTTTGCTTATTCTTCCATGCTCAAATACAGAAAAAAGGCAGAATTTAGCAGCACCAGCCACCTAATCAGCATGTGTCAAAGATTCCCACAGCTATCTTACCTGGCCAGTACATCAGGAACACTGTCTCTTTGTCAACAGAGTGGGGGCTGAAGTTATGGAAGCAAAATACACAGTATATCTCCACCATCAGAGGAGAATTCTCTAAAGAGAATTGGTCCCCCTCCCCACCGAAATCTCTCTAAGGCTACAGTTTAATATGATGGTGATCACTCTAACACCTCTGAAAGCCCCAAAGCACAGGACCATCTCCATGAACCATTCTATGGGTGGGACACTGGGTGATCCCACTTCGGGGTGCTCTCTCTGCACTGGATGCTTCCCTTATCGTTATATAAGGTTCAAAGCAAATGAAATGTATTAAACAGCAATTTTTTAAAAATAAAGAAAAAATGGGAAAGGTTAAAAGGAAAACACATAACTCTACTCTGAGGCAGAGGACATCATGAGTGGCAGTCTCTGGAATGTAAGGGAAGTTCACACTCTGTTCCTTAGACATCCAAGGCCCCCTTCTCAGGCCCAGACTGCTGCAGGGATGCTGTGGGTTGGATACTTGCTCTGATCATGGTCACACATCTTCAGGCTCTAGGTGGCAGGACTCTTCTTACTAGAATCGGCTTCTCCATCAGGGATATGATTCCCTTCCCAGTCTAGCCTGAAAGAACTCTTGGCTAAGGGTGTCTCTGCATTGGGCCCTCTCTTCAGGGCCTCTCCCTCCAGGAGTGACGTGAGTGGGGCACAAAGGGTCATATGTCTCCCCCCAAATGCTGGGGGGAGAGGAGACAAGCAAGGGACTGGCAGGCAGAGCTGTCCTCTCCTATGGATGGTTTGTCCAACTGTCCCATGCCCTGTGCGTTGCAGCTAGCAGTAGGGGTCAGCCCTCAGTGGAATGACCTGGCCCCACCCCACTCTGCTCCCCTGGTTCCCAGCTGCATCACTTTTACTTCCTGCCACTGGTGATTGCAGGGGGCGGTTCCGCCCCTTTCACAAATCTCCTCCCTCAGCAACAGACCAGAAGATTAGCAGGGTCCTGGCTTCAGGGGTCAGAACTACCCCACACTCACAGGCCACAACAGGAAGTAGAGTGAACAAGACCCAGCACACTCTGCTTCTCTGACTCCCAGCTGTATCGCTCAGTGGAGGAGGCTTGTGGAAGGAGTGGAATCACTCCCCCGTCCTCCACACTCACCAGTGGCAAGAAGCAGAGCAATGCTGCAGGGAGCAGAGAAGGTTGCAGGCGGGTCACTCTGCTTGCCATCTCTGATGCCTGTGAGTACAGGGAGGGAGGGGCTGACCCCTGCTGCAGATGCCAGGTCTCCGTTAGTTCTCCCCATCAACATCATTTGTGGGAAGGGATTTGGGGAAAGGGATGGAATAGGACAGGGAGGGAGCAGATAGGGACAGGAGAGGTTGGAAGGGGCAGAGTTTGGGGGAGGAGGTGGAGTAGGGGCAGGGCAAGAAAAGGCAGGGACTTCCCCTTAGGGTTGCCAGATGATTTCAACAAAAATACCAGACACACTTGACATTATATTGCAATCTACATTCCATCTTATTTAGAAAATACCGGACACTTAAATTTGCTCATTTACGTTTTCTCAATTTGTTTCCTGGGACAGAAAGCTCAAATACTGGACTGTCTGGTTCAAAACTGGATACCTGGCAACCCTACTTCCCCTGGGCTAGAGGTTGCATGGGGAGGAGTCTCATGGAGGAAGTCACATGACCAGTGCCTTCCTTGCATCCTTCCCCAGTACTCACCATTGCCCTCCCCCCACTCCCTGCTGGCCCCAGTTGTTCACCACATCCCACTCCAGTGGGCTCCAGCCCCAGCTCCACCCTCCTCAGCATGGGTCCTGTTCTACCTTCAGCCCAGAGCTGCTTCTCTCACCCCAGTTGCTGCAGCCCTGCTCCCAGCATGGATCTTCTCCCTGGTGCTCTCTGATTGGCTCCGTTTTGCTCCTCAGCTCAGTTTGGGCCCCTGGTCTCTCCTTAGCTCGGCCCCACTCTCTGACCAGGCAATTCCAGCTCACACAAAGGATGGCCCCCTCCCACTCCCTCATTAGCCGGTTTTCCCGTCAATCACGCTGACTTGAAATGTTGGCTTCTCCCTATTGCCCCTGGGGACTGTCCCTCTCAGGGTCCTAATTTCTCATTGACCCTTCCTTTTGCTACTGGCAGCTAGTCAGCCCCCAACCCTATTGAGCTGTAGCAAGGGGCCAAACCGTCCTTTACTGGAAGGGGCAATTAGGGGAAACTGGGGGCGGAGGGAGAAGAGGGCAGCAGGAAATGAGGGCGCAGAGGAATGGGGAGACCCTTGGGAACACTGTGACGGGGAGATGTACAAGTTAGGGCAATCATCCAGGGCAGTCCTCGCCCAGCACTGGGAGGAAGCACAGTTCTGCAGAAGCGTGGTGGCCACCGAAGTCACCACACAGCTGGCGGGAGACTAGGAAGGCCAGGGTCGGCTGCCCGGGCTGCAGGGAAGGAATCCCAGAGCCAGCGCTTCTCCGGGGGCGGGGCGGGAAGCAGAAGGGCTCGGCCTGGGTGCAGCTTTCCTGGGGCAGCCTGGAGGGGGGCAGAGCGACCTACCCGTTCATGGTCCTCATCCTGCAAGAGTCCCTTCTCCACACACTTGTTAGTGACCTCCGGGCTCATCAGCTTGTCCACCAGGGTGCCATAGAGCAGCTGCACCATTTTCACGCACATGTCGTGGTCGGCCTCCTCCGCCGGCGAGGGCAGCTGGCTCAGGCTGGGGTTCACGTAGCAGACGGCCATATCGCTGCCCCCCTGCTGCAGCGCGGTGACGAACTGCTGGATCCAGCCCGGCTCCTTGCAGCCCCGCTCCCCGACCCCCAGCAGCTCCCCAGCCGCCTGCTGCTCGCCCCCCTGCCGAGCGACCGCCCGGATCCGCTCCTTTTCCTGCACGCTCAGCGTGTCCAGACAGTCCAGCACCGGCACCACCCGTATGTACTGCGTGAGCCGGGTCCTAAAGCAGGAGATCAGATAAATAAACTCCTCTTCGCGGGAGGGGGCCGACATCTTCTCTGCGTCCAGGTTCAGTGGCACAGCTGGGGCAGTTAGGAGTCGCTTCCGGGAGTCTCCAGTGCCCAGGGAGGAGGGAGGGTCCCGAGCTTCTCCGGCACTCAGCTCCTAGCTGCTTGGAGCGGGCAGGTGGCTGCGGTTCTTCTTGGGCGCCAGTGCAGCCACACAAACAGCTTGGTGGACGGGTGAAACTGCTGGCTGGGCACGTCTCTCCGAGGTACCCCGCTCCGTGCCTCCGAGGTTTTGCTGAGCTGGAGCTGACCACAGCGCTTTTAAGCTTCCCCAACCGGCCGCTTTCGGTTTCGATTCCTGCGGGCTGTTCGGTTTCCAAACGAAAAGGACTGAGCCATCTTCCTGAGTCCGCAGGCGGCCAGTCCCATGCTTCACTTTTTAATCTTTTCTGTGCACCCCCATGACCAGTTCTGTATAGATTCCTATCCCACCCACATCCCAACAACCTCTGCAAAGATTAAAAAGACAAGGACTGTTCAACTTAGAAAAGAGACATTTAGGGAGTTATTGATTGGGGGGGTCTATAAAATCAGGAATGATGTGGAAAAAGTGAATAGAGAAGTTTTATTTTTTTACCCTTTCACACAATACACAAAAATTCAATGATATTAATAAGTAGCAGATTTAAGGCAACAAGAGGAAGTACTTTTTCACACAATGCACAGCACAACTAGCCTGTGGAACTTGTCATGGGAGGTTGTTATGGACAAAAGTACAGTTGTGTTCATAAAATAATAAGTTCATGGAGGATATGTCTATATGCAGGGCTGGATGGAGGCATGGGCAAGCCGGGCAGCTGCTCAGGGCGCCAACCCAGATGGCAGCTGTAAGGGACCCACGGCATCCCTTGCAGCTGCCATTAGGAGCAGCGCGCCCGGCTCCCACAGTGGCTGGACAGCAGCGCCCTTGCCCCTACGGTTGCAGGGCCATGCATGGCCCGGCGCGTGCACTAGCAGCACTGGCCGGGTTGGGCAGCGCATGCGCCGTGTGCCCCACGGGCGGGCCTGTGCATGAGCCCTGCGCCCGGGGGCAGCGCCCAACGTGCCAAAAGGGCTCAGGCCAGCCCTGTCTATAAGTGACTATTAGTTAAAATGATCATGGGCACAACCCCATGCTCTGGCTTTCCCTAAACTTCTAGAAGCTGGGACTAGGCAATAGGAGATGAATCACTCAATAATAGACCTGTTCTGTTAATTCTCTCTGAATTATCTGCTACTGGCCACTATGGGAAAACAGCACACTGGCCTAGATGGACTATTGGTCTGACCCAGTATGGTCATTCCTATGTTCTTACATAGAGCTGTAACTAGATATGAACACAGAAACTCTCCTCTGTTTATTTTCTCTTCTAACACTGTTTGTTTTCTGTTTCCCTTTTTTTGTACTTCCATTCTGGGTTTTGGTTTCAATTCACTCTGTGCAATTTAGTTTCATTGTTGTCTCTTATCATTCCTTTTTTATTTCTGGTTTGTTCTATGTCCCTTCTGAAGCTCCTTCTGTCTCTAAGATTTCATATTCATCCCCCTCTGACTTTCCTCTTATACTTCTCTCCAAAACATCGTCACTATCATCAGTCACTGCACTTTCCTTGTATTTTTACATTTTCTGATTTTGGCTGTCATTTTTCTTCACAATTTGGAACAGAGTTTTCCAACCTAAAGATCCTTGTTGCTAAGTAACATGGTTATTCACCCTTACTTTTTCTGAGCATCCTAGTTGCCATGGCACCCTTGGTTAGCACAAGCACAGGGTTATAGATAAATAGATTATAGGAATGATAGTCAGATCTGTAAAGGTATTTAGGTACCTACAGATTCAGATAGGTGCCTAACCTTAGGTACCTCATGGGATTTTTGTTTAAAAATCTTTACCTTTGAGTAAGAGGGTGAGTTTCTTTCTGTAAAAATTTCTACACCAAGACATGCAGGAATCCATTCTATATACTGTATGTGGAGTTTTATAAAAGTATCCTTACAGTCACATCTGACAGCAAAGCTATACTTCCCAACAATAATGCTTCTATTATAACCCTGTTAAGGGTTGGGTTAAGATACTTTTGTTTTAATTTGGCTAAAACCAGGAATAAGCATGGTGGCTTGTCTCCCCAGGTAAGAAAAGACTGATACTACACACAGGGACTAGGAAAGTGAACAGGTAACCAGTTAACCGTTATCAAGTAAGCATCACTCTTCCTGGGTGATGCTTACCCAGTAATGGTTAACTGACTCCCAAGAGTAGTCCCCCGCCTGTGGCCCACCACAGGCAGAGGGCTGCTCCAGCCCTCCTGTGCCCACTGCACCACAGGGCAGGATGGGAGCTTGCAGCCCTACATTGAGCCAGGAGCTCTGTGCGGGATGGGGGTGGGGAGAGAAGGCTGGGCCCAAAGGGGACAGCAGAGGCAGCACTGCTGGGTTTGCGTCCCCCCCCCCATTTAATTGGTTAACTGATTAATCCTAAGGTTTAAGCAGTTAACTGATATTACATCTCTACTGGGGACTGGATTCACAAGGGGATTCATGCATTGTGACATTCAGCATTACCACACTTAAAAGTTGCAGTTAGTTTGCTGAGGGCTTGGCTACCCTTACAGTGCTGCAGCCGAATGTTTCAAGCTTGGTGCAAATAGGCACACAGGCAAGACTGGGGACTTTGAGGCAGGAATGTTTTTACACAATCATGCATATTCAGCATAGTACACCCTGATCACGCCAAAAGGAGGAGTAAAATGGTAATTTTATTTCTGATCATCAAAAAGCAGATGCAGCCATAACATTGTTAACTACTAACATAGTTTTGCAACATCCTGAGTATCAGGGTGTTCTCCAAATAAGGGTGTGTTAGGTATATTACACAATGGCTGTGTCTACATTGGCAAGCGCCTGCTTTTGTGCAAAATCTTGCCGCCTGTCTACACTGGCCGCGAGTATTTGCGCAAGAACACTGACGTGGTAATGTACAAAATCAGTGCTTCTTGCACAAATACTCTGACGCTCCCACTCAGGGATAAGTCCTCTTGCGCAAATATTCTTGCGCAAGAGGTCAGTGTAGACAGGCAACCTTAATTTCTTGCGCAAGAAAGCCCGATGGCTAAAATGGCCGTTGGAGCTTTCTTGAGCAAGAGAGCGTCTACACTGGCACGGATGCTTTTGTGCAGAGGCACATGCCAGTATAGACGCTCTCTTGCGCAAATACTTTTCATGGAAAAACTCTTCCGTTAAAAGTGTTTGCACAAAATCATGCCAGTGTAGACGCAGCCAATATGTAATCAATTGTAGATATTATTAGAATGACCACGTTGAGTATAAATATAGGAGTATAAAGAATAAGCAGTAGGGGGGACTGAGCAAGGTATTCCCACATATCTTGCTTGCAGCAACTAGAAGCTGAACCATTCATTCTGGCAGATGCAATGAGGGTGCCTCCGCATGTGGGGAAAGAATGAGGCCACGACCTCCTGTCCAGCAATTGTAAGACTGCATTACAGGTGACTATATCCTTAAAGCTTCAGAGGGGTAGCAGAGTTAGTCTATAGCTGGAAAAACATTGAATAGTCTATCAGCACCTTCAAAACTAACAAAACATGTAGACGGTATCATGAGCTTTCGTGGGTACACAGATGAAGAAGTAGGTTGTACTCACGAAAGCTCTTGATACCAGCTACATGTTTTGTTAGTCTAGAAGGTGTTGCTAAACTATTTGTTGTTTTTCAAGTATATCCTTAAAGTTGCATACCTTGTGTATTGTCCAGCTGGTTTTGGAACCCACAAGGGGAAAGGCTATTCTTGATTTAGTCTGGATCTGGTTCAAGAGGTAAATATAACTGGACCGCTTGGAAATAGCAACCATATTGTAATAAAATTGAACATCCCTGTGGTGTGAAAAACACCTCAGCAGCCTAACACACTAGCATTTAATTTCAGAAAGGGGAATTATACAAAAATGAGGAAGTTAGTTAAACAGAAATTAAAAGGTCCTGGGACAAAAGTAAAATCTCTGCAAACTGCATGGAAACTTTTCAAAGACACCATAAGGCATAAGGATCCTGTGCAAAACAGGGTTTTTGCGCAAAAAACCCCCTAGCCACATTACTTTTTCCCCCAAAGAAACCCTTTGTGCAAAACCGGCGTGCAAAGATTATGCAAATGAGGCATGGTGATATGCTAATCCATGTCTCATTTGCATACACACTGCCAGCAAAACCGGCAGTGTAGACGAAGCCCTATCGGATAGTAACTTAAAAGTAAAACACCCAGAATACAGCATAACTGCAGCTACTGTAGGAAAAGACCTTATGTTATCTTTTCCCCAGTGAGACTGTTTGCGTAAGGATGAAAGAATCTGGCTCATAAAGAGATGTTTGCAAGTCTATAGTGCCTTTCATCAGAATATCTCTATACCATTTACAAACCTTTAACCTGAAAAACAAGTAGTCCTGAAAAAGTAGGTTTTGAACATGAAAGCTCATACTTTATATATATAATTTCCAAATAACTCCCCTCATTTCAAAATAACAAGCACAGCGTCCACACTACCAAGCCTGTTGTTTCAAAATAACTCCTGCTTGTCATGAGGAATAACACTTATTTCAAAATAGCTATTTCCAAGTAGCATTAGTGTAGAAGCTCCACTGCTGCTATTTTGAAATAACTATATACCCTAGTGTTTCCTGGGGCTCTAAGTCGAAGTAACACATCCACATTAAGGGTAAGTCTACACTGCAAAGTTATTTCGGAATAAGCTATTCTGGAATAGCTATTCTGAAATATCTTATTTCAAAATAGCACATCTACACTGCAGGGAAGCCTCAAAATTAGTCTGAGGCAGACTTCCCTAATGTAGACATGCTATCTTGATTTAGAGCCCTAGGAGGAATAACTTAGAATGACCCTGGTGAGGGGCTATTTCGAAGTAGCAGAAGTGGAGCTACACACGCCTTATTTTGAAATAGCTATTTCAGAAGTAGCGTTGTTCTTCGTAGAATGAGGCTTATAGAAGTCGGAATAAGCTGTCTTTTATTTCAAAATTATTTCAAAATAATAGAACTGCTGTGTAGACTCTCGCATAGTTATTTCAGAATAACAGCCATTATTCTGAAATAACTTTGCTGTGTAGACACACCATAAGGGAGCCTGCCTCAGACTAATTTCAGGCTTCCCTGTAGTGTGGACACGCTATTTCAAAAGTTATTTTGGGAATTATTATTCTGAAATAAGTTATTTTGAAATAGTTTCCTAAGGTGCCACAGGACTACTCATTTTTAAAGTTACAGACTAAAACAGCTATCTATCCCTCTGAGACCTTTAACCTGAAGGCACTCTTGCTTGATAAGGGGAAAATTGATATGTTTTTCACGAAATATTGTAGGCTATCTCCTGGCATCTCAGCAAATTGTGGGAAAAGAGGCCAATCACCTATCATTCCTTCTACCATATCTCAGAATTCAGCTGTTCCCCATTCCCTTTCCAAACTGCTCACACCCAGCATGGTGTAAGGGCAGAGGAATGCACTAGTCCATTATTGGAAAAGCAAGAAAGCAGGTGCTGTTATACTGGACAGAATTCTCACTGATTGATCCAAACGTGCTGACTATATGAATCAAAAGGAGGAAGGTATTGACTGAGAACTCCATGTTTGATGTTATTCAGGTATTTGTGTTTTATTTATTTTCAGAGCAGTTACACTCAGTACACTGATGCTTCTGCGTGCTGCCACCAAGACTGAATGTTGAGATTGACTCATTATAGATACCTAGGACAAACCTCAGTGGTTGGGGAGGGTTCTTTAGCCAAGAGTGGGCTTATGCCTCCCCAGTTCCTGGAACCAAATAGGACAATCAGCAGTGGCTCCAGAATGTCAGGACCTGAAAGGCCACTTTCCTGAGTGATGCTTGCCCTGATACTATGTTGCTATAACACTACAGTGAGATCTGCTTTCAGAGCTGAAAAGTGAATGTCAATGGCAATAAAGAAGCCTGCCACCCCACTTTGCCACAGGTCAAGAAAGTGGGCCCTCAGTTCCAAGCAGGGAAATCAACAGTGGGAAGCAATTGTGATGGGGATATGCATGGCAATTGTGTCCTTTTGCACTGTCTGGGAAGTGTGCAGGAGTAGGGAATTAAATTGCTACAACCTGTGCATGTAGACCAGGTTTATGCCTATTTTGCATAGATAGTGTCTATTGCACAGAGCAGTAGTGAATCAGTCCAAGAACATTTGACTTGTAGAATATAGGTATACATGTACAGGTATTAGATGCTTGAAAATATTAAAGGTACACACGAAATCCAGTCAGTTAAAAAAAAAAGTTAGTTTCTGTTATTAAACAGGTTTCGGAATCCCTGGTTTTAGAAACATGTTTCCATTTTTTAAAAAAAACATATTTTCCCTCTTCCCTATTACTGATTGAAAGGCCAGTACAAACAGCAGGGATCTCTGCTGAAGTACTTTGTGTTGTTTTCTCTCATGGCTTCAGTAATGAGCATACGTAGAAGTTACTTGAAACAATAGGAGGGAAAACACTTCCAGACGAACAATGATTTTGAAATTGAGGGTTAGGTTATGTATTACATAACTTATACAGCCCCTAATGCTTCAAAGGATGTCTCTGAACAGAAGGGTTGGACACCAAGCCCCTGTCCATGTTTAAATACCCTCTTCCCCCTCCAACCCATTAGTTCTGTTATTACTCACCGTGGAAACCCCCCAGCCCAGCCTCCCCCTCTGCCTAACATTGGAGCTATGGCTCAGCCCCAAGCCGCCTACTTTCTCTACGCAGCCTGGCTCGAGCGTGACTCAGTTCCTGTAACTCAGTAACTGAGCAGGCCAAGAATCCTGCCCCCCCCCCGCTTG